ACAACACCAGAGTGTTTCCTTCCTGCCTTCCTTACAGGATTAGCCCTGTAAAGTGGGAAAAAATAGGAGATTTCTTCCAATCTCCTGTTCTCCAAACTGCTTAGAAAGTTAACAACTGGTTCTCCAGAATAGGTGCGAACTGGCTGAATCCCACCACTGGTTGTATGGTCGGCTTCTTTCAGGTGCTGCCAAGTGCAATGAATGTGCCCACACCATATCTGAAGTACCTTCCCTGCTTCTGTTACTCCTATTCTGCTTCTGTTACTTTCCAAGCAAACCTGTGATATCCAGACAGTAGAAGAGAGCTGAACATCTGAACCAGGCAATCCTACAGAACAATTTGAAATGATTCTTCTGAAAATCGTAACCTAAAGCAGGTCGTTGCTTGTCCTGTCCTTCTAATCTGTTGTCAGAGCCAGACATCCTACAATTGTTCTGCTTGCTGCCTTATGAAGTTACCTTTCCAGATAAACAACTAATTAACAACTAACATTCCAAGGCTTAGACCACTGAGGGCTAACCTTTTTGGCATTGAGTGCCGAAATTGGTGTGTGTGTGTGCACGCACATGCACGCATGTATGCCAGAGCACCAGAACCCAGAAGAGAGCAGCTGGCCACTGTGCATGGGCATCGTCACCAGCTGCCCTCTTCCATGTTTCAGTGCTCTAGCATGCGTGACAGCTGGTCCAGCACACATGTGCACCGGCCAGCTGCTGTCTTCCAGTTCTGGTACACGTATGCGCACTGGCCAGCTAGTCTTTGTGCAAAGACTATCTGACCGGCACATACTCGAACCTGGAAGAGCAGCTGGTGATGGCACGTGTGCCCAGAGAGAGTGTCCTGAGTGCTACCTGTGGGCACCTGTGCCATAGGTTTGCCATCTTGGGCTTAGATTGACATATCACCCAAGTGGATGGGATTTGTTCTCAAAGGGGTATAAAATTCCCCCACTCGCCTCTTGGTTCCACTGTGTTAGAAACCATTGTTCTGCCTCTCCCGTTTCCTACTTACCGGCTGTCCAGGTGCCCCTTGATCTCCCTTCAGTCCGGGCAGTCCAGGCTGACCTATCTGTCCAGGGTTTCCTTTTTCTCCTTTCACTCCCCCAATCCCGGGTGGTCCAGGGGGTCCTTCAGGCCCAGGAAGACCTTCAAGTTGCAACACAGAATTGGGGTGTCAGCGCAACGTCACTCTCCTTAGAATTCAGCACTCTTCTCTGTGCGGTCTTGCACTAAAAGACCACGCCCTTTTATGTCTGTGGGACATTTTAGGTTCAAGGGGAAGGCCAGCCAAGGAAGGGCCTGCCCAGCTGTTGGGGTGGTGGTTATGATTATATTAATTTATAATGTTTTGTGCCTTAGTTTTTGAGCATCGACTGTCCAAGATACCGTTGACCTTTTCTTATTGTATTTAATTGACCATTTTGTTCCATTTCGTTCAAGTATTCTTTGATTAATTTTATTCTACATGGGAAATGACCAGAGAGGAAGGAACACTGATTTTTTTGGGAGTGGGGAACCAGCATGGAGAGGGATTTTGGTAATACAAAATTGGAGGGCCCATACTATTTCCTCTTGAGATGTATTTATAGAACCCTGGGATTGGAAAGGAAGGTTGGGTCCTCTAAGCAGAGTTGTGTACTGTATATTCCTACAGAATTATAGGAAACTATGGGTGGCAACCACAGGGAGTTCAGAGCTGCCATAAAATGGGATTTCGGGTGGGGGGCTCACCAATCTGGAAACCCAGGTGATCTCCTGAGGCCTTGCAGAGTGTAAAGGGCTGGTACAGGCAGAGGTGAGGAGAAGAAGAACATGTATCTTTGGTGGACATTCTCATATCAATGAAAGCAACTTTAATATTGTTTGGTCAACAAACTCAACCATCTATGGTTTCCTCTCTTTAAAATCAGCAGACAAAAACGGGGACTAACCAGCCCATAATTATTAATGAAATAGTATCGATGAAGATAAGGACAATGGACATGGGAGAGAGGGGAAAGGAACAGTCCCTATCTTTGAGGCAATCTTTACATTTTGGTTTAGTCCTTCCTTCCTTCCTTCCTTCCTTCCTTCCTTCCTTCCTTCCTTCCTTCATCAGAGGCATTTCAACAAATGGAAGGTGATCATTAATAGTTTAACATAGAAAAGGTATTTGGCATCTTCAATAAAAATTGAGATAAAAGTATACGATGCTTTTCATGTTTTAAACACATTCTACCACAGAATGGCAGGATGTAGATGCTACTATTAAAACCCCAAATCAGAATTCACCAATATGATATCCTCCTGATACATTGGAGCTGAATTCCTATAATATTCAACTGAGATGGACAAGAATTGGACAAATTTGTTTTAAATGAATTAACTGGGTGCCTGTCCTGAAGATGCTGGCAATTTCTGTGCTATTTCTGCCACGTGAATATGATTTTCTTAAATTAACCAGTTAGTGTGGTTTTTTTAAAAGTTTGATTGAAGGGAATGTTGATCTCATGAAATGCTTTCAACCATAGAAGTAAAAGGAAGAGATAGCATATATTAAGGGATAATAATCCACCAAACTCAGATTGCCTTTTAAAGACTACAAAATTCATATTAATTGGAAAATTGAGGTAACAAAAAAATGAGGAAAGTTAAGGTAACAATAACAACAGCAACAAAAGATCTGGTAATTGTTATATCATGTGAACAGAAATATTAAGAACATTAAGAACAGTATAAGAAAATTATAATCACAATTCTTAAAACACCACAAGGTTTTGCTTAACAACGCCCCCTCCTCAAGTTGTAATTAAACACAAAAATCCCAGTTAAAAAATATTTTTTCAACAGCATTAGGAAAAACAGATTCACTGTTTAGGTTCCACATTTTCAAGTGACAACACATGAATTCAGAACCTCAACTTAGTTCAATTGTAACAATGGTTAACAGAAACAAGCCAGCTTTGTGAAGTAGGGTTGTTGTAAAGTACCAAATGCCCCCATTCTCAAAGTTTGCATAACACGCATAAGGCTAAAATGGTGGTGGGCTGAATTACGAATCAATGTACCGTTGTAGGAGAAGGAGCAACAGAACCTAGGGTTGGAGTTAAAAGAGGGATCAATCTAGAATCCCTATGTAGCCACAAGTGAACTAAGTCCAATCCTCTTGAATTCTGTTGACCCGTATCTAACTCCAAGCAGGTGCTATTAGTTGAAAAGATTCCTGTGCGTAGGTTATGTAACAATAAATCAGTTTATTTGGACTTTCAGGTATGAACCTCATCTTTCATACCCGACAGCGGTGTTCCCAAAACAGATGTTTTGAAGTTGGCTTGTTCAATAAAGCACAGTTCAAGGTAACCATGGACTGATTTAAATTGGATATGAACAAAAGTATGATGCAGAATTTTTTTTATGGCCACACAGGTCTATGTTAATACGGGGTAATGTTAAACCATGATTAACTGTTATATCTTATGCAACCAGTATCTAAGTTAACAGCAAAATAACATTGTCAGGCAACCAATACAGTCAAACAAACTAGCTAAGTTAAGAATCTAACCTGGATGACCTGGAAGAGTCAGAGTTCACCAAAGGCCAATGTTCGTTGTTAGGGGGAAGATATGAGATATAACAGTGCAAAACAAGACGACTAGTTAGAATTAGCATTCATAAGCTGATACTACACAGAGAAAACCCATCTCACCAGCATATTTTGTATTTACAGATTGCAAACGTGCATGCACAGACAACTCCCTCTCCCACATCCTCAAAATATACCATGTGTTTCTACACAAAATAATTTAGATATACAACTTATTCTGGTGATAAGGCTGCTACAACTCGTCAAAGTCAACCTTAGTTGACATTCTACTGAGCAAGGCTCAATATCTGTTAGTTTCAGGTAAACAATAATGGCATCTATTTTTGTGACCATTTCACTGACTTGGCTGCAGAAGGGACAACCTGGTTGAGACCAACTGTAGATACAGGCAAACCTCAACTTACAACAGTTCACGTAGTGACCAATTACAATGGCACTGAAAAAGGGACTTATGACCATTTTTCACATGAGCGTTGCAGCAGCCTCATGGTCACCTGATCAAACTTCAGATGCTTGGCAACTGACTCATATTTATGATGGTTTCAGTATCCTGGGGTCATGTGATCCCCTTTTGTGACCATTTGACAAGCCAAGTCAAGGGTGAAGCCAGGTTTACTCAATCACCGTGTTAGTAACTTGGCAAGAAAGATCATAAAAATGGGGAAAATTTCAGTTAACAAATGTCTCAGTAGCAACAGAAATTTTGGGCTCAACTGTAGTTGTAAGTCGAGGATTACCTGCACTTGCCCCAGTGATCTTGGAAATGGTTATCTAAGTTCGCCAAGACTGTATGATTTATTGCGGTATAAGAAAGGATCTTCACAGAGCCACTATTTTTGAGGCTCTCGGAAGAAAAGGTTCATTTTATGAAGCTTAAACCGTTTTGCAGATTTGAACTAAAAGGAATTTCTTTTGCATTGCCATTAAGAACAAGAGGCCAGGTAATTTCTCTCGTAATCATCCTGAGTGGGATTAACCAAATTTTGTTTATGCTAAGCACGATAAGGCAGAACATGACTAGGAAATGTCATCTGGCTTGTAGGCTACACTTCAAAATTTTTAAAAAATCTCAAAAACTACTTTATTGCCAAAAAAAATCATCATGGGATTCCAGCTCAATTCAAAGGTAATGTTCCTTTTGCCTGTGTTAATCAATCCTGCTAGTGACACTAATAGTGATGCTATTATCAATACTATTATTAAAACGCTTGAATATAATGCAAAGGTATATTTACTATGTATTAATACTTAAAACATAGCTGCCGATTGTTTCTGTAATAGGTTTATGATATCTATCTTGATCCTCTCCAAAATAGTTGATAAAGGATAAAGGAACATGGAGTTGATACTCACAGTTTACTGTCAGTGAAATATTCACAAAAATATAAAGATACAAAGAATCCATGCAATTTATCAACAATAAATTAGGAAATACATATGCATAAGTTTTCATCTCACTTGTTTCTCTGCATTCTTGGTTGATCATTCTATATTAATGCTAAACAAAAGATTAGACTAACCAAAACTTTCTATTGCAAAACAGAATCCAAGTTTTGCTAAGCCTTTTCAAGATACACAAACAGAAAGTAACCAATCCTTGTTGCTTCACCATTTTCCATTTCCTTTTTCCAATTAATTAAACTGCACTTTTAATGAGCCACAGTTGATTGCTCTATTTAAGTAACATTTAGATTCAGAACTTTTCTATGGCTGTGCTCATGAAGATTTGTTTCTGAAAAGTTATCTTAGCAAAACTTTCATTATTTCTTTTTATTCCATTTCTTACAAATGTGTATGCCAAGTCAACTTTGTGTTACAGAAATATACACACACAATACGATTTTGTCTCATCAACATTATCTTACTGCAAGAAAAAAAATCTACTGTAGTTGCAATTAGAAAACATACATTGAAGCTAAAACCTTCCTAGAGCTAAACGCTCTGCTTTTTTACCCAGAATTGAGTCTGAATTCAATAGGGATTTAAAGGTAAAGGTGAAGGTTGCCCTCGCACATATGTGCTAGTCATTTCCGACTGTAGGGGGCGGTGCTCATCTCTGTTTCAAAGCCGAAGAGCCAGCACTGTCAGAAGATGGCTCTGTGGTCATGTGGCTGGCATGACTCAATGCTGAAGGTGCATAGAACGCTGTGACCTTCCCACCAAAGATGGTCCCTATTTTTTCTACTTGCATTTTTATATGCTTTTGAACTGCTAGTTTGGCAGTAATGGGATCTCACCCTGTTATGTAGCGCTGGGGATTTGAACTGCCGAACTGTCAACCTTTCTGATCGACAAGCTCAGTGTCTTAGCCACTGAACTGCCATGTTCATAGGGATTTACTCCTAGGTAAACTTACAAAAGGACAGATCCATTTTATTACAGCCTCATCCAAACGGGACTCTCAGTATAAACAAACAAGAGGAGAATTGCAGTGCAAAGGCATACAGTATGTGATTCCAAATGCTAATAAATCATCTTTATTGCTTACGTCTATGGAGATCCTCAGTCATCCAGGCCATGGTTGTCCCAAAGGTGCTTTTTTAGGAGGCAAATGACTTCCTAGCATGAGCTTCTTGGATGAGAAGTGAAATGTCTTCAAAGAAGGACCAGAAACTCCAGTTGCCTCTTGAAAAAGCACCTAAGGGTTTATAGCTTAAAGGTAAAGATTCCCCTCGCACATATGTGCTAGTCATTCCCAACTCTAGGGGGCAGTGCTCATTTCCGTTTTAAAGCCAAACAGCCAGCGCTGTTATCGCTTATGTTATGGCAAATGGGATCATGCCCATAGCATCACATTGATTCTACCAAAAACAAGATGGTTATAAATGATCAGTAAACATGCTTTATTTTCAACTGGGCCATGATCCTTGCAATTTGCGGAATAAACAAACCCCACATTTGATTTTTTTTTAAAAAATGTGGACAAAGTGTGAGACTTTTGTACAAATTTAGAATTAGATCATAATCTTTTTTCTTTCAATTTTAATGGTGTTTCTCAATCAAACCTCTGCCTTTGCCTGACTGTACATATAGGATAGATTGATGACTTGGCATACACATTCTGGCGAAGAAAGCATCTTTATCCAAAACATACATTTAATGTCATGCAAAAGGTATTACTCTAGAGTTAATGCGCTAACCTGTGGCACCTGGAAGGAGGTGATCAAAAGTTCACCAAGGCCATCATTACAAAGAAAAATATCAATATAGTTAGACACATAAAGAAACCGATACGTTTTCACAGCGATTCATCTACATTTCTCTTTTTAAAAAATGCCATGGGTATACCAAACTGTCATCATGATCAAAAACTAATTAATTCATTAATTGTTTTTACAGTGGAAGCCTGAGCCCCAAGGGGGAAAAAAATTATTTAGGCTGCTCCCGGGATGCCGTCTGGAATAACTGCACGTTATTCCAGGTGGTCCTCAACTTACAACCATTCATTTGGTGACCATTCAAAGTTACAAGTTGAAAACATAGATGTATAGATACAGGAATGATTAGGGGTGTATAAAAAAGGTGTTTGAATAACCAATGGCTGTGCTAGTACCGTCAGAAAGGATTGTAACTTATACAAAACTTATGTTTAAAGGTATTTGTATTTTAAAGTTTTTAATTTTCAATAAAGGTTTAAAAAAGGTGACAAGTTGAAAAAGGGGACTTACAACCAGTTCTGGCACTTAAGATTGTCACAGAAACAACCCCCACTCCCACCCCAAAGTCAGAGGAACAAGATTTCGGTGCTTGGTATTAACAGTGGTCATGTGATCACCATCTGCATATTCCCACAAGCAAAGTCAATGGGGGGGGGGGGAGAAACTGCATTCTCTTAATGAACCATGTCATAAAATTGGGGTCAACTTACCTAACAAGCAACAGAACACCTGGTTCCAGTTATGGTTGTAAGTCGAGAACTACCTATATATCGAAAGCATCTCCATGTGAGGACTAGCTGGAAGAGGTCAGCCAAAAGTGCAACCCTCCAACCAATGAGAGACAATAGCTGTCAACAAAATAGATTGTTCTTATGTATCTACCTCTCTTTCTTTGCGGTTGCAACTGCTTTCTTGTCCAATCATTATTGAGCTACATTCCAGGGGTTGATTCCGTCAACCAGAAACCAATTGAATTTCCTTTTACTCATAACAACAGTTTGGTCTTTGCCCACTGGTGGATGCATGGTAGCATGAGATGAATACCTACATTCTACATGCAGTGAAAACAAAGGTGATGGAAACAATGCCACAGGGCCATTACTAGCACTGCCTCTTAGTCACATATCTACAGTGACAGCATCTTCATCTAATTTAGTCGTCTCCCAATGCTACTACCAGGTTTCCCCAAAAATATGACCTACTCCAAAAAGTAAGTCCTAGCTTGATTTTTACATCTGTGCCCAATATAAGCCCTGGCCCCTAAAATAATCCCTAATTAAGATCCCGCCCACTCCAGGGTGCACAGGTAAAAATTAAGTTAGGGTAGGGATGTGGGTGGGGGGATGAAGTGTCCTACTTCTTCACAGTTGCAGCCAGGTCTCGCACACCCCGACACCAGTGGTGGGTTTCTAGAGGTTGGGACCAGTTGGGTTGAACCGGAAGTTATTTCGCTGCCTGGATTGCTGAAACCGTCAATGACCCAGGCCTGCCACACCCCAAACTGGTGCTCCCATAGGCACCACCGTTTTGGTTTTTGCTTCTGCACATGAGCAGAACAATTTTTTATTGCATTAGTGATCAAATGTGCGTGCGCATGATGTGCGCACATGCAAAATTGCACCCACACCGAACCAGCTGTAATGCCAGCAGCAACCCACCCCTGCCCGACACCTGCCTTGCTGGCCCATTTCTTCTGCAGCCAGCAAGGCTTTCCTGAAGGCCTCTGCAGCCGATAACAGAGCTCCGGATTGCTGGCCACAGAAGAAGTTCCTGAAGGCCACTGACAGTGAAAAGGAGGCCAGGGGCAATGCACGCAAGTGAGGTGAGTCAGTGGATGACACCTCCTGAAAATAAGACCTGGTGCCTTTTTTGGTGGCAAAAAAATAAAAAAATAAGACAGAGTCTTATTTTGGGGAAAACATGGGTACATGAAGGGAATATGCATGTGTGTTGATATTGTCTTCTTTCAAATTCTTCTGCTAACATGTGGAACTACCCAACAGGTTCTTCTTCAAACCCCTTGCATTTACTTCAAAGGGATTGATGAGAAGTCCTAGATGTGTGTTCTATTGCTTCCCTTGTTCCCCAGTAGGTACCAGATTCAATGTTTGTCTGAATGCTTATCCCTGATGTCTGAATGTTTAACATCTAACATATCTGGTGTAAATGCTTTAATCTGTAATTGCACAGGTATGCTTATATCCAGTTAATGAGCTGTTATCATCATCCTTCATCCTTGTGGTACAATGACAGTATTTGTACACTCTATTTGTATGCCCCCTTCAGGTTTTTGTAGTGGGAATATATTTCTGGGATAAACAGGTTTTAAAGGACATGTAAATATGAAAGTCAGAATGCTCAGCCTTTCTCTTATGTAAAGTATGAACAGAATTTTATCTGAAGTTGGGGGGTGTTATGTTAATATTTAACCAAGATCAGTTAGAAACCAACAGAGACTCTGTTGGTTCTAAAGGCTGAAGGCTAGGTTGGAGTAAAGCAATGGCAAACCACTTCCTATATCTGCCAAAAAACCTCCATGGGTATACCCATCAAGACAGCAAAATCAAACTTGACTTAAAACAGTGTCCCTCAACCTTTTGGGCACTAGGAGCCGGTTCCATGGCAAAATTGGTTGCCGAACATTTCATTACCAAGCTAGGTAGCATCTTCAGTGGACTTTAGAGGGTGTTAGTGTCAGTGTTCTTCTGTTTATAAGGGCATTGTGTGGTCACTAGGCTTGTGATGGGTCAGGTGTGAGTGTGTCAAATGAAGGTCTTGTGATGGGTCTTGAGATGAGTCAGGTGTGGGACATCAGTGGGACTCTTGTGATGGGTCCTATTTGCATGGATTGGTTTCAGGCATGCCATAGCCTGGTGCCAGTCCATGGGCCGGGGGTTGGGGCCCCCTGATTTAAAGGACACCTTACTTAGATGTTATAATTAAATTCTTAACTTGTGAGCCACCTTGAGTAACATCAATTGGGAGAATGGTGGAATATAAATCCCACAAATAACTTATTTATGTATTAGGAAGAGACAAGATTTTCTAACAAAGCCCAATCCGTTGTGTTCTTTAGAAGTCACTCTATCATTTTAGTGTTTGAGATGTCACAACATTTTGTCCCGGTTGAGCTACGATTAAAATGCATCTTATTATTATCATAAAGCGTCATCACTAATTAAGTGTTACCAACTGTCAGAAAGTGTACAAAAAAAGTGCCAATTACAGCAGGGTCTCCAAACTTGGCAACTTTTAAGGCTTTGTGGATTTCAACTCCCAGAATTCCTCAGGGAACAATGCTGGCTGAGGGATTGTGGCAATTGAAATCCACAAATCTTGAAGTTGCCAAGTTTGGAGTTCCCTGAATTAAAGACCAGTCTAAATAACCCTGAATCATCTACAATGACTATTTTAATCACTCAGTTGTCCTATTGATAAAGAATGACAGGATTGTGGGACGTATAAAAATAGCATACAAGTTATAGCACTTTCTCTAAACTTGCCAAACATCGTTCCCCGTGTCAGGCAAATTTTATCAGATACCAGTAACAACTCGGTGGCATTTATTTAACGTTATCACTTATACGTAGGAACCACAAACAAACAAGCTGGACGGTGACAGCATGAAGATGAGATGGGATGCATTGCGCCTGTTGGAATGGAGGACACGGTGAGGTAAGAACAAGCATTCACGATGAGCATAACCCAAACAAGGAGGAACAAATGATGAAGACGGAACATGCGGTGCTTGCTAAGATGAATTTGATTTCCAATGGTCTTACGAGCAGTGTGAATTATCATTCAGTGCACAAGATGAGTGTCCTGATCAGTTGGCATCATGGTACAGGCAGTCTGGGCAGATGCTATTAAGGTTGATTGGGGTGCTTGGCTTGATGAGTGCCGTGATCACATGCAGAGCCCATTTAAAATTGGGGAAATTTTGCTGGCAGGTGGTCAGCAGATTCTATTGTTGTCTCTTGACATGGGTCATGCTTGTCTTTTTCAGGATAACGTAACCATGACTCAAAGGCACTGAATATTAAAAAGTCTGGTCAGATCATCCAAAGCATCAGTCTGCAAAGGGCTGATCAAAACGAGAGCCCGATAAGCCAATAACTTGCCAGCAAAATATCCAGTGTATAGACCTCCTTTTTCTTACCTGGCCGTCCTGGTATGCCTGGTAGCCCAGGGCTACCCTTAGGTCCTTCTGATGGTGGCCCAGGAAGTCCTGGAGGACCTTCTAAACCCTGAAGGCCAGGAAATCCCTTGGGACCCATTTCTCCTTTTAAACCAGGGGATCCTGGAGGCCCCGGGGGTCCAAAGTAGCCTGAATCTCCCTTTTGACCTATTTGTTAAAACAGAGAAGGAGAGAGGCATGTCAAGGAATCAGCATTCCACAAAGGCCTTTCAAGTGCTGTTAAAAAAGAGAGAGATGCTACAAACCCCCAAAGTACTAGATACAATACAATACAATAGCAGAGTTGGAAGGGACCTTGAAGGTCTTCTAGTCCAACCCCCCTGCCTAGGCAGGAAACCCTACACTACTTCAGACAAATGGCTATCCAACATCTTCTTGAAGACTTCCAGTGTTGGGGCATTCACAACTTCTGGAGGCAAGCTGTTCCACTGATTAATTGTTCTGTCAGGAAATTTCTCCCCAGTTCTAAGTTGCTTCTCTCCTTGATTAGTTTCCACCCATTGCTTCTTGTCCTGCCCTCAGGTGCCTTGGAGAATAGTTTGACTCCCTCTTCTTTGTGGCAACCCCTGAGATATTGGAACACTGCTATCATGTCTCCCCTAGTCCTTCTTTTCATTAAACTAGGCATACCCAGTTCCTGCAACCATTCTTCATATGTTTTAGTCTCCTGTCCCCTAATCCTCTTTGTTGTTCTTCTCTGCACTCTTTCTAGAGTCTCCACATCTTTCCTACATCGTGGTGACCAAAACTGAATGCAGTATTCCAAGTGTGGCCTTACCAAGGCCTTATAAAGTGGTATCAACACTTCACGTGATGATGCAAGCTGAGAAACTGGTACCCAATTATTTTCTGGTATCTCCCTCCCAGTAGCTCCCATCTGTCAGCATTCTCAAAAAGGCCAGGAACATCCAAAACCATCCTTCAAGTGTTGCTGCTCCTGTTATTTTCATCTTACTTGATACAAGAGGAATTTTTATATTTGTGGTCCACAATTTAAAATGGGCCTTGAAACAAGTTGACAGGGGATATGAATCAAAAGTAAAGAATTTATTCATTAGATAGCAACATCTCCTAGATGGCTAGATGCAAATTGTATGTACATATTTCAGAATGGCAGAGTTGGAAGGAACCTTGGATGTCCTTTAATCCAACTCCCTGTTCAAGCAGGAGACCTTATATCAGTAATGGCGAACCTTTTCGGCACCGAGTGCCCAAACGCACATGCATGCACACACATGTGCGCATGCTGGGGCACTGGAAACCTGACCAGCTGGCTGACATGCGCATGCCTATTTTTTGGCTGTTTTCAGGCCATGTTTGACCTGAAAAATGGCTTGAAAATGCCCCCAAAACAGCCTGGAAAATGTCCTGAAAACACAATTTTCCAGGCAGTTTTCCAGCACTCTAGCACCCGTGAAGACCAGCTGGGCAGCATGCCAGAATCCAGAAGAGTAGCTGGCGATGGTGCACGTGCCCACAGAGAGGGCTCTGTGTACTATCTTTGGCATGTGTGCCATCACGGCCCTATACTATTTCAGATAAATGGCTGTCCAATTTCTTCTTAAAAGCCTCCACTTATGCAGCACCCAAAACTTCTGAAGGCAAGAAGTCTAGATGGACCTTCCAGATATTTTGAGTATATATATCTCCTTAAGGTTTGCAGCCAATGTGATTTTTAACCAGGCATTCTGAGATTTGCAATATTAAGAGATTTGGTGATGTTCCACTGGGCATCAACAGGTTCCTTAATATTGCCAATCTCTGAATGCCTGCTTAAAGGTATTCTGAGGTTTTCAGAACTTGCAACACTTGCCCTCTCATGTCTAAATGTCAGCTGCATTTCTGTCTCCAAAATGAAGCAATCATCTAGATCAGCAGTCACCACTGGTGGTCCACAAGAACATTTTGGTGGTCCACAGAAAAATTATTTGCATTTTATATTGCACTAAATACTATTCATCTTTTAAAAAATCATATTAGTGGTCCGTGGGATTTAAAAGTATGAATTTAGTGGTCCCTGCAGTCCGAAAGGTTGGTGACCCCTGATCTAGATGATGACCCATCAGTTCTAGCTTTTTTTTCCTCACTTAATACCCAATTCTGAGATCTGTTATGAAACAATAAACTTTCTTTTTCACTAATGAATAAAATTAAGTCTTTGCCTGCGAGTCCTGGGAGGCCTGGAGGTCCGGGAAGTCCAAATCCTGGTTGACCTGAAAGAACACAACCACAATGGCAAAGTTAACAATGTAATTTCATGTTATGGATCTCTGAATGCCATCTTTGCCAAAAGACATCAACCTTTCAACCGATGGATTCATCGTCATTATAGTGATGCAAAAGGAAAAGGAAAGCATCAAGCAGAAGAAAAGGAGGCTCACCTGGTTCTCCTTTCTGCCCTGATGGTCCAGGGATGCCATCTTGCCCAGGTTTTCCTTTTTCCCCCAGGAGGCCTGGAGAGCCAGGGCGACCAAATTCACCTGAGACACGAGAAGAGGAGAATTGCCAGCAATGAATTATCTTGATGCTCTAGAAAAGGAATCCAAAGGTCCGCCTACTGTAAATACTACCATTTCTAATGCAATTCATAAATGCAGAGAAAAATCCATTTCCCGTGTTTCTACAGACCTGATTTAGGACTGGAATTGTTCACCTATCACAGAGATGACCCCTTCAGCGGTTCTTCTTAAACATTTTAGGAAAGGAGAAATTGAGAAATTTCACATAAGAGAAGATGTACAGCTAGCCACAATTAGGTACCAATGTTGAAATGTGGTTTGTGTTTGCTCTTGCTGCTACGCTTTATGTGGATACTCATGAAGATGTAGATTAGATTATCCACTCTAAGCTACACCCCTGCTGTAGGCAGAATTCTCCACAAACAGTAAGGACCACCCAGCATTCACAAACTCAATCCTAGCCCAGGTTTATATCAAGCAAGCTAATGCTGTTCTCTGCAAACTAGGATCTCTAATTTAGAGAATAAGTTGCAAACTTAAAGACAACCTAACCAACCTAACTTAACCTAACCTTAACCTAACCAAACCAACCCAGCAAACCAAGACTACCTAACCTAACCTAGCAAACCTAAAGGCTAGCTAATATATCAAATCTGAAAACTACTGCCTACTTCCCACTATTTTGTAAGCCACCCAGAGTCACCTCTAGACGAGATGGGGGACACACAAACCTAACACAATATGTATGTATGGCACAACATGTATGGGTGAATTGGGATGTGTAAATGATACTTTTTGGCTTAACATGATGCTCAATGGTAGCCACTGTGGATGGACTGAATTGTTGATTTCAGATATCCACTGCAGGATGGTGGCTTGATTGATTGAATGGGGGCTGGGAGGGAGATCCTAATGAATTATTTTAGAAGCTATGCTAGATCGAAAAAAGGAATGGCAAAGAGTCAAGATTTAAGCAGCATTGTCCCTTGAACCTGATTTCACTTGGAAGAATGGAAGGTGTGACCTAAACCTTCTCCTCCTCAGTGGTTCTCAACATTTTCTTCATCATGGACCTCTTTAAATACCTTTTGTGGTAGACCCCAAAGATTTAAATCATGACCTTTTTTCAAGCCTTTGCGCACACACACACACCGTGACAACATCGTGGCTTCCCAGAGGTCTGTGGATCACAGGTTGCTTTTGGAAAGTGAGGGGAGCCGAATGTCAACTCCTAAAGTTGCCATGGTGAGGAAAGGGGGGGAGCGCATTCCACGCAGACTTTCAGCTAGAGTCGGATCTCAGATCCGCAGCAGACTTGGGAGGAGTGCACCTCATTGGGGAATGTGATTTATGATGCAGACAGAGGGGAGGAAAGGAACAGAGGTAAAGTTCAGCTGTAATTCAAATAAGGCTAAAATCTGACTGCAAAAAGATATTGCCAAAATAAATGCTCCTAATAAATGACTAATTTTCTTTTGAAGTTTGGCCCGAGACTCATGAATCGATTAGGGCATTTTTTTTTAAACCTGGCATTGAGAACCACTGTACTAAATCAAAAGCTTTTAAGATAGCTCAAGACAAGCAAACAAACATACTTTTCCCTATTTGATATTTTTCAGTACTTACCTGGAGGTCCAGGTGGCCCTGGAACACCTGGGTTTCCTGGAGGTCCATCAAGACCTTTTGGTCCTGAAATGCCTGGTGTCCCTGTGAAACCAAAAGCATAATCTGAAGGAAGCACAACACAACTTCAGGAGGCATCAACATCCCTGAACTGGAAAGACAGAAATACGGATGGAAGAGAATATTTGTAGCTCAAGGTTGAACGATGGGGTTCCTTGCTGCTCTCTGAGATTGGTAATGAAACATTAGCAAGAAAACAACCAAACTAGGTAACATCATCAGTGATCAAATGAAGTGAAAAAAATGAAAAAGAATCTTCTGCGATTAGAAGCAAAGAGAAAAGGAGGCCCAGATAAATCAGCTGTGCCTATTCTCAATTTATGGTGTTTGTTAAATAAGCCAGATTTTAATTGTCAAGCCAAATGAAGATGGACTATCCAGGAACCTCTGTCTTACATGTAGAAGCCCCTCGCTTCCTTCCATTAAAACAATATTTTTGATTCCAAAGCAGTCTGTTGCCATCACAGCTGGCCATGACGCAATTTATAATAAGTTTTCTGTTCTTTTTCTTTCCATATCCCTTCTCTTGTTTTTTGAGGAACAAAAAAACCCTTGGAAATGGGCCTTTCTGATTTTAAACTTACATAAACTACTCCAGAAGGCTTTTGAAGTTCAGAGCAAGTAAGAACTGCAACATTTGTTTTCAAGAAAGGGATTAAAATTTTAGAGAAAGGAAACTAGCAGAAGTATACTTTTCAGCTCAGCAATTGGATTGTCAAGCAAAACTAAAACATTTTAAAAGTAGAAAAAGAAATACAGGTAGTCCTCAACTTACGACCCCAAGTAAGCCCAAAATGTCTGTTGTTAAACAAGATGGTTGTTAAGTGAGTTTTGCTCCATTTGCCATTGTTAAGTGAAAACACTGCAGCTGTTAGGCTTTTGAATGAATCCGGGTTCTCTCTTGAATTTGCTTATCAGAAGGCTGCAAAGGGGATCCCATGACCCTGAGACACTCAACTGTCCTAAAGATGAACCAGTTGCCAAGCGTCCAAATTTTGATAAGGTGACCATGGGGATGCTGCAATGGTCATAAGTATGAAAAATGGTCATGTCACTTTTTTCAGTGCCATTGTAACTTTCAACAGACACTAAATGGACAGTTGTAAGTCGAGAACTAAACCCGCCATCCTAGGCCCAACGTTTGGGAAGCCAGGCTCTGCCTGTCACAAGCCAGGACAAAGGGTGAGTGATGGAGGAGTAACACCTCCTTAAAAAACCTTGGTCCAGCAGGCCCGGCTGGTAGCATCTCATAAGGGCCCCTTTCCTGGGTTACAGGAGAAGACAGTCAAGGGTTTTGAAGGTGGAAGAGGGTTTTATGCCCCAAAGGCAGATAAAGCAGCAGAGCCATCTTCTAGGAGAAGGGAAATCTGAATACAAACCTCCACTGCCTTGTGCCTACATCCACTACTGGGAAAGGCTTCAGGAGTCAAATCTAAAGGCAAAATCCGGAGCTGGAGTCCTGGAAGCAATTTATGATTGTACAACCAAGTTCTGGTAACTCCTGTGATTCAGCTGGAACCAATCGTAACAGCTCTGCTGTTCCATTGGACTATTTCAGCGACATGGAGAGGGGGGATCTGCTGCTTGGGTAACAGTCTATCCCCCATATTAATCTACCCAGGCCTGGTGTTCTGGAGAGGACACTCCAACTTTGACCTCTTTCCAGAGCACGACACCATAGTCTTTTGAGACTGAAGGATGCCCATGAATGAAGTCAAGGACTCTCTATTGAGAGGACTTGCTTCTCTATAACTGCTTTAATTCCCCTCATTTCATGAAAGACTTTTCCAATTGAAGGCTATCTAGATATGAGTCCCAAATCTCTGGAGGGTGCTGTAGATACCCAGCACATCTGGAGGACAGGAGATGGATAGAAACCTTCACAATGAATATACCGTATTTTTTGGAGTATAAGACACACTTTTCCTTCCCTATAAGAGGGTAAACATTTGGGTGCATCTTATACACCAAATACAGCCCCACCCACTCAGCGGCCTCCATCCTTTGGCCTCTGCCTCCCAGCAATTTGCCTCCTTGCAGCAAACAGCAAACAGCCTGTTTCAGTTTCAGCAAAGCCCGATTAGCACAAAAAGCTGATTGCAGGTTGGATTGGCCTCCTGACAATCAGCTGTTTCAGGCTGCAGGGATTGCCATTGCCTATTGCCGCCTCCACAAACCCCATTTTTAGCCTCCCATGCCCCATTTTATGCCCATTTCGATCCCCACTGCCCAGAATGTGGAGGCCCAAAACAGGGTGTGCAGAGGCAGCAATAGGCTATGGCAATCCCTGCAGCCTGAAACAGCTGATCATCGGGAGGCCTGACAATCAGCTGCTTGCACTAATCAGGCTGTGCTGAAACTGAAATGGGCTGTTTGTTTTTTGCTGCAAAGAGGCAAATTGCTGGGAGCAGAGGCAATTTTTTTTCTTGTTTTCCTCCACAAAAGTTAGGTGCATCTTATACTTTGGAGCATCCTATACTCCAAAAAATATGGAAAGCTCTGGAAGAATTATCTTTTTCAGAAGCAAAAGAAGAAGAAAAGAGAAGAAAAACGAGCCATGTGAAATCAATTACCTGGGAATCCAGGAAGGCCAGGTTCACCTTTTGCTCCCAAAGAACCTGGCAAGCCAGACAACCCTGGATTTCCAAGAGATCCTTTAGGGCCTGGAGAACCAGGGTAGCCAGGCAGTCCACTTTCACCCTGGGGAAAAAAATCATAGCATTTTGTTTCTAAGAAAGGAAAATCTAGAACTTATTGGATGAAAAGCACAAGTTTTTCAAGGGAAAAAAAACCCAGTTGCCTATTGGAAGAGTGTTTTTGGGATGTCTTGAGAGTAAAGGTAAAGGTAAAGCTTCCCCTCGCTAGTCACTAGGGGGCAGTGCTCATCTCCGTTTCAAAGCCAAAGAGCCAGTGCTGTCTGAAGACGTCTCCGTGGGCATGTGTCCGGCATGACTAAACACCAAAAGCACATGGAACGCTGTTCCCTTCCCACCAAAGGTGTTTCCTATTTGTCTACTTGCATTTTTTAACGTGCTTTCGAACTGCTAGGTTGGCAGAAGCTGGGACAAGTAACGGAAGCTCACTCCATTACGCGGCACTAGGGATTTGAACCGCCGAACTGCCGACCTTTTCTGATCGACAAGCTCAGCGTCTTAGGCACTTGAGCCATCACGCCTTGAGAGTAACACAGGGCAACGGTGTCCATGATTATGAAAAGGTTCTCTACAGTGCCTCTGGAGAGGATATTGGGCAACCTACCTTGGGGCCAGGAGGACCCGGAATGCCAGTGCCTGATGTACCAGGATCCCCCTTGTCTCCCTTCAGTCCAGGTGATCCAGGAGAACCAGGCTGGCCAAAACGCCCTGGGACCCCTTGTGAACCTTTCGTGCCAGGGGGACCTGTGCAAAGCAAGTGAAAAAACAGCACATCATAGCAGCTCTGAGGCAGTGTATATAACAGAGATGGCTAATCTTTTTGTCCTCATGTGCCGAAATCACACATGTGCATGATTACACCCATAATGCAATCTGTGTGTGACACCCCCAGGCACGCCGCCCCCTACACATGTGTATGCCTCTAAACGCTTCCTCCTTTCCCTCGCACATGCACATGTGACCCTCCCTGCCCCTCCCGGTGAATGGACGTGAATCTCCCGCATGTGCGGCAGAGACCGGAAAATCAACTGTGCATGCCCGGTAGAGCTCAGTTGGGGTGACAGCTGATGTACCCGCAGAGAGGGCTCTACATGCCACCTATGGCATGCGTGCCATAGGTTCGCCATCAGAGGTATACAAGGTATACCTGTGGATCAAGGATCAGACTTTACAAGAGGAGTGGCAAGGCAAGGGGTGAAGACGAACCAAACTGAGATGGAGCGAATGAGATAGAATACTAAGTACACAAGAGAAATGTGGGGTTTCTGCACCATAGAATCCCAGTGCTTTCACAATATATGTATGTATGTATGTATGTGTGTGTGTGTGTGTGTGTGTATGTATGTATGTATGTATGTATGTATGTATGTATGTATGTATGTATGTATGTATGTATGTATATATAGGTTTGAATCCCAGTAAGGGTAT